ATAAATCGAAGACTTACAAAATACCTTTCCAGGGTAGGAAACGTAAAAAGATATAATTTAGTTAAAAAACGTATGTCAGATGTATGCTCGGTGACACATGGACCCAGAAAGCATGAACTGGCTTTCACAGAAGCAATGCTAACATGCTAATTTATCAGTAGTTTTGTGATTTAGCTCGCCAACATTTGCTAATTAGGACAAAGAACAGCTGAGGCTAATGGAAATGTCATTTTTGAGTGGCTCAAATTAACATTTTAATTAACTAGGTGAAATGTCACACGATTGTCGCTACAATTTTTTGCAATTTTTCCAACAACCACAAAATTCAACCTGCTGGTGCCGCTACAAAAGTCATGGATCAGCAAAGTCATCTGTTGGGACCAGATTGGCTAAAAATCCTGCTTTTTTTTAAAATGAGCTAGACTGGCTCGTGATCATGGAATTTAAACCGGATGAATTTTATTTTTTGAGTCGAGAGCCGATAATGCCGACACTTTCATGCGTTTTAGCTGTAAATGTCTGCACACAGAGCTAAAGAACTGAATAAATAAGTCATCCATTCTGTGTTTTATTTGTCTATTGATTTTGTGTTTTCCATTTAGTCAGTTTTGTATAATATAATCATTCTGTTTCATCGATGCCCAAAAGCCTAATGTGTAAAATATAAAATCTATGCGGGTGCACAGCTTTTTACTAACAGACTACATTTCCATCCCTTTGCAACAACAACACACGACAGAATTTTCTCCCCACAAGGACTCCACCACCGAGCATTTATCCCTGGATATTGTAAACAGTGAGGAAATTGATTTTGCTGATCAAAGATAGATCCCTCGAGAGCCCTTCTAATGGAGATGATGTCGGCCTTGAGGAAGATTCATGGTAAAATAGCAAGGAACAGGGACAGAGGAGCCAAGATACAGAGGAGAGTAAATAGAAGGGACAGATGAGTAATACTGCAAAGCACGCTGCTATTGTCCTCTAAGAGAAATGTGCATTTGTCTATGAGCTATACATTTGCATTTTGGCCATTTAGACACTCTGCCAACCGGATCTTAGTCATTACAAGAAATTCTCTGTTTGAGATTTTCCATCTGGAGAGCTGCTTTAAAGGCGTTTAAAGAGAACAAACATGCTTTCACATTTCTCTTGTGCGTTTCATTTCTTGCATCACTCAGCCAGAAACTGAGGTTTGTTAATCACCGCTCGTGTCTGGGGAAGATGCAAACTAACCTCTTGCTAAGGCCTGCCCTCCTTATTTATTGTTGCTACGCCTGTCAAGCGTGGAGATGTTTGACAGCACGGTGACAGCCTTAATTAGCAACTCTTAGTCATTTTTTTTCAAACAGCTGGTTATTGACTTCAAAAAGAGATAGCCATCAGTGTTGTCGACTGATATGAGAACAAGCGCCCACACATTTTATTAGCTAATTAAGCTAATTAGGTAGTAAAATGAAGGCAGCCGGACTGGTTTTGTAAAGACGTTCTTATCTGAAAGACTTCCTTCAGTTCTGAAGCTACAAGAAACTCAAACAAGTGGCTTCTTTTTAGCACTTCTGCAATGAAACTGACGCTAGTTTAGATGTAGTTGATTTAACATGGCTGTGTGATTGTTTTTACCAGCGTTCACAATCAGACTTTCAAACACCTTGGAAGATTTAGGCCTTGTCCACACGTAGCAGGGTTTTGTAATCGAATGGAACCGAATATCCTCCCCCGTCCGTCTAGAAAAAAACCTACGTACACACCACCTCGTTTATAGAAAAAAAATTCATCCACACCTAATCGCATAAGTGCGTTTTTAAGTACATTCATATTCTACGTGAGGATGACTCCGATGACAGGAGGGACGACCAGGACATACGGAAATTGTCACACCGTTCCTCCAGGAGCACGATTTCCATCTTAAAGTTCTCCCACCAGCTGGCAGTGCGTCCCGGTCTGACCCAAAACTGTGTCTTTGACGGAGAACATGCCTCGGACGTGGAATGGCGAGGTGGCGGAAAACAACCGTCCTTAACACCGCCCTTAATCTGTGTTCTTGTACGTGGAGCCGTATCTGGGTTTGTAAAAACAATCAAAAGGCTCCTGGACCAGAGACAACGCCGACACAGGTCTGAGGGCGTCCACGCTGTTTCCAAATGTAAACACAGATGTGATGTAAGGAACATATTTTGTCACAGGCAGTGACGTTTTGAAATCTAAAACTTGGTTATTGACGTCCACATGCAGATGTATAAATGGAGGATTCGCAAATCTTCCCTTTGGTCAGAGTTTTGAAAGAAACGTTTTTAATGTCGTAAATGTGCGTTGTCGTGTGGATGACAGGCCGAATCGTAGAAAAATATCTTTGTTTTGTGAGATACCCTGCTACGTGTGGACGAGGTCTTACTGGCAGTTGCAGTTTTTTTCTGAGGTCACAAATTAAATGTTGCTTCACCACTACCTTCTGCCCTGTAGTTCATTTCAATTTCATCGTAGAATAAGGGACAGAAAACCCAACAAAAGCCAAAAAGTTGCTTAACAACGCAGCAATGATTTCTGTTAATTTGACGAAATCTTAACATGTCGCCTTCACGACTCACCAAGTCAGTCCGAGCAACATTTCTGCATCACTCTCAACGCGGCACGAGTCTGAACCGAACGCTGTCGCATCAACAGATCGGCACAGACAAGCGGCGGTACTCTGAGATGTGTGAAGTGATCTGGGGATGGCTTTTTCCACATTTCAGCACCAATATCTCTCCAAAAATATCACCGAGCAAAAAGATACAGTTTTTCTGCCAAAATCACAAAACACCTTTTTTCGATTCACAATGTCACATCTGTTAGACGCTGAAATTGTCCATGAAAATGAAACTTCACCGTGATGACGGGAGACAAGGTCGCAAAACGTTAACAGGAGGTTTGCTGCTTCCAGGAGTTTTTCCTCTCAGCTCAATAAATACCTGCAGCATCAAACAACAGCGGGATCATACAGCAAGAGGCCTTTACAGACATCTAACAACAACTTAAGCTTCATTAATTGCATGAAAATGTAAAAATTGTCCCCAACATGTAGACAGGATTGAGCAAGATCAGGTCACATCACAAGTTTGTAAGCTGCAGTTCAATTCTTTGCTATATTGTTTTTGCTCTAAGCCCCATCCAAGCTGTTGGGATATCTTTGTTTTACTGTAGCTATAGTATTATCACTGATTATCACCATACGTGGACGTAGTTTTTCGGACAGTTTGAAAAACTTGCTGTTTGTTTCGATTTCGTCTTTTAGTACGCCATCAGGCATCTAAAGTCCAGAGTTCATTTGCAAAAACAGATAACGCCATCTTCACAAACCTTCAGAAAACCCACTTTTCCATCGTCTACCTGAGCAAATATCAATCAAACTTAAGTTCTCTATTTTTGTCATTTCTACTGAGTCATATCCACTCAACTTCAGGTTGATTGATGTTATCTCAAGCAAACACAAAAATGTTTTGTTTGAAAATCTACAAAAATCTGTTTTTGCAAATGAACTCTTCGTATGATAAATATTGCACATTTTCAGTGGCCGTATCCGTCACTGTGGATGAGTATGTCTTAGTGAAGCTGTGAGGAAGATTAACGTAAAAGTCTAAATGACAGATTGGCGTCATTTTAACCAAAGCCAGCAATTTTTACGTCTGAGTTACAAAAAGTGGTGACGCCATGACTTGAACAGGACAGGCCTTCAAATGCCAGTGAGGATCTTATACTCTGTGGGGAAAATCTACAAAATAAAGTGTGTGAATGGAGGTTTATTCTTCTTTACATAGACAGTAGTTGCCTTGACGTTGGAAGTGATGCTGGGGTAGATTACTCCACCAGATAACATATCAGCTCTCTGGACACGGTGCTGCTTACATTAGAGCAGATAACCACAGTGTTGAATCCACCCCTTGCGTATCTGTTTACGTCTTGGTGTTGTAAAGGCTCTGCTTGAAACCCTGGTAATCTATCATACTCCAGTGTATCCCCGGACAGCTTCAGAGCTCCAGCGGTTTGGCAAACAGCTGCGTGTGTGTGAATGGCAGGTTACATTATCGACCGGCGTCCCTCCCTCCCTCTACCTACCCTCGGAGCTGATTTCACGGGAACGCACAAGGTCGCTCTTGTTGCCCACCAGGATGATTGGTGTTTGTGGCTGGGACTCCCTGAGAAGGAGGCGGAGCTGGGCGGTGCGGTGGAAACTTCGCCTGTCAGTCACCGAGAAGACCAGGATGCACACATCGCACTGCAGAGCGGACAGGTCCTGAGGGTTGCAAACACAAACACATGCATTATACAGACAGCTGCTCGACTGGCATCCAGTGACGGCTGAGGAGGTGTGGAATGTCAGGTAGCCACCAGAGATCCTTTACACGCCATCGACAAATCAAGGAATTGTCCTTGAAGAACATTTTTTTAAACTCGAGTTTGTGTCGGTGTGCTAACGCCAATTTTTAGCACCGTCCCACGAGAGGATGCTTTGCTCGACTTGACTGTGCACATGTCGCGCTTCACTTTGAATCTCCTGACCCTCTTAACGGTGACCATCAACATCCCGTCGGGGCTTCCTGTCACAGAGGCTCAATTAGCCCGAGTGGCTCTAGCAGAAACAGCAGCTTGTAAGTGCCCGGGACCATCTTTGTCCTCTCGCCGATTCAGTCAGCCGCACATCGGACTGAAGGTGGTTCACGGGTGTAAAATGGGTCATGGCAAGGTTTCTCATTCTGTACTTTTGCTTTGGCGAGCCTACGTTTGCTCGTGTGTGTCTCCTCATCCTTAATGAAGAGTCGACATCAAACCAAAAATCTGGAGGCCAGCTGAGGAGCTGGTATCCAGGGAGCACTCGTGGCCAAATCCTTCCCAGCTGATCACTTGTTGACCTAATTATTTGTCGCGGCCCCAAAATAATATCTTGTCTGTCTTGTATGCGGTGAGTGATATTAGATACCATATGGTTCAGGGTTTAGCGGGTTGAATTCCCTGTGCCTGTGCGCTGCCGAGGACAATGCAATTTTGGATTGAAGTCTCGCCCTGCGGTCATACGGATTAGGTTTTCATTAAAGCTGCACTGAAAAATATGTCAAGTGAGCATGAGTGAAGGGAAAGTTGTCGTTCCTGGGGACGAAAACCCACAGAGAATCCCCTCGTCGTCTTTCATCCTGTCATTCTGGTTTTCAAAAAGCAATCAGGAAAGTCTAATTCAGCAACTAGCTTGAAAACTTTTAAGATGACAGTACTTTAAAAATGTGCGAATCAATATGTTTCATTAACAAAGGAATCAAATTAATGTGTCATGTTGGTGGGGCCCTTCCTAGTGACAAACCAATGAAGAACTATTTGCAGCCTCCTTTAGTTCAGCTGCACATCGTTGGTAATTATTTTGGTTTTATGACTCATAAACTCTGCTCTCATGAACCTCGTGCTCAGCAACAGTCGCAGTTTCCTGCAACGGTGCACTTATAAATGACTTGTATACCAACACCACCCAACAGCAAACACACAAGTCAGCAACTAGCTAGAGAACTTGGTGAAACACTAAAGTGGTTGATGTTTAGCTCAGCAGTTGGTGAATGTAGAAGGTAAAGGAGAGTTAATATTTGTGAGATAAATGCTCAGATCAATAACTCCAAATAATTACTAATCTTGCTCCTTTTCAGTGAGATGTTTACCACCTTGTAGCGGGAAGAACGACTTTAAAGAGCCCATATAATGCACTTTTACAGGTTTATATTTAGATTTTCTGCCTCTACTAGAATATATGTATTTGTTATATTGTTCAAAAACACATGATGTTTCTCATACTGTACATCGCTGCAGGTTCAAGCTCACAGTCTGTCTGAAACGCTCAGTTTTAGCTCCGGTCTCTTAAAGGTCCCCCCTACTGAAAAGCCCAGTTTTCTCTAATTGGTCAGCTGGTTCGACGAAATCTCTCTCTATACTTAGATCCTTAAGGGTAGAGATGTAGCAGAAGTGGCTGTGAGGCAGCAGCTCGTTCCTTGTTTTAGGGCCCAACTAGCCACAAGGCAGGCGATATTTAAATGTGTTACATTGTGATGTCAGTAAGGAATAAAAGAAATGTCTGGACTTCAAACAAGGTGTTTCAAGCAGGTAAGAAGCAGCATTTGAACTACTTTGGGAGGTGACTTTGGCCTTTGTGCTGTATCTTTGTCTGCATAAGATTACAAGGGAAAACCCTAAAAGGAGAATAAGCACTCTTTAAAATGATCCTGTTCTTACTGATAAATGTGCTTTAGAATGTTTAATGCTACAATGCATTAAATAAGAAATACATAAAGTCTGATGAAACCCTCCTTTAATTTCTTTTGCAATGCTGCTACACATTTGCATGAGTGTGTAGTGGTAGGTTTTGTGCCTTGTGTGGTGCTGAAGAGGTTAAAACAAACGACATTTTATCTTAGGCTGGACAAGCACAATCAATACAAACTATTTTCCTCCTAAAGACAGAAACCAGAGACCAGACTCCACAGTGTAACGCCAGTCACAGCCACACAGTCAAACCCCATGAATACAGGCCACATTATGACATTACAAGATATACATAGAAGCACCGTTTGAAATCCGGCTGGCTTTTCTGTGAGTGAAGCACAACCTGTGACTGCAGTCCTTAAATAAAAACCATTGTATTTCTGTCCGCTGTTTATGGAGCAGCACCAGAAAATAAAGTTTACGTAACAGTTTCCAGCGTAGAGATTTTTCTGTAAGCTGAGGGGAATTTTATTTGACAGCCGGTTTAAGCTTAAATCTATAACGTTCTATTTTATAAAACGGCAAAAACCCCCCCTAACCTGCGGACCTGCGAAACCCAATCGAGTGGTATTAGGACTCTGAAGCCATAAACGCTGGCGACTGAATCGATATAAAAACATGTTATTTCGAGTAGATAACCCAATCTGCCCGCTAGCTTCGGACGGCATATTGCCTGTGTGTGAGGGCGTGGATGCCCCTGCCCTACATCCACAGCCCCGGAGGCCAATTCCTGCCCTCCAGAGAGTTTCAGACGCCTGAAAAATTCACGCCGTCTCACGCCGGCCAAGAATCGTCGGCTCAGACCCCTGAGCAGGAAATTCACGGGGAGAGCCTTGGCACACGGCGTGTTTGACGGAGCACAGAGAAAACACAAGGAGAGGAGAGGGAGGCCGATGGCCACCTGTCACCGTCTGATTGGGGGGGACGAGGACGAAGAGGAGGAAGAGGAGGATTGACAACAACAAGACAGAGAGTAACTGAGAGGAGGAGACACTAATCTTTGTAAGCAAAGGAGTACCAACGCGGAGTGGACATCGATTAGGAGCGTGATGGAGCGCTCCGGGAGGAAAACTGCGACCGAGTAAATACGCTTCTCTATCAAACGGAGGCAGATCAACTGAGGACAGTGCCAGCTCTTTCTTTCCCTCGCTGCCTTTTTTCTCTCGATTGAGCGGCTCCTCTCTGTTCACGGAGAGCAGGCCATCTGTCAGTAGCTGCTCCTCCCGTACACAAATGAAGACAAAAAAGCCGGGCAACGCATACAACCCCCGAATCCACACAGTATTCACTGAGCGTTCAGGGAAATATTAATGAAAATCTCACAACAACACGGGACTCATCTGGTTAATTAGGCAATTATCTGTAAGATTCCATCTTCATGTGCCGTCACCTTGTTACACACATCAAACAAAAACACATGGACACTTTATTTTTCTCGGTTTGACCTCCTGAAGGCGCAGCTTCAAACATCTGCTGTAAATCCTGCCTGGAAAAACGAAAGCCGCATTATGCAGCCAATTATATCTGACAATCGGTTTAAGCTTCAATCAATAACTTTTCACTGTGTTATTTATAAAACCCTAATGAACAAACCCAATCAAGTTTTATTGGGACTCTAAAGCCATAAACGCGAGTGACTGAATCAATATAAAAACAGATTATCTCAAAGGTTCAAACAACTGCTGGAAACCCTGATCAGAAAAAAAAGAAAGGAAGCTGTAACAGTGTAAAAATCATATTGGTGGCTTTTAAATAAAATATTCCACAATCATTCTGCATGGAGGAATATTTGCTGGCTAAGTGTGATTTCTCTCAACATCCAGGCTGAGATTCTCACACTCAGATTATGATTGCATAGCCATAAATTCCCTACTGTAGTAACAGAACCTGATTTGTATTCAAAGCTACGACGCCGGCTCTGTATTAAAATTATGAATAAATGATAGCCTTATTTTTGGTTGGGCAATTTTTTTGCTTTGGGCTACGTCCTCGAATGACTACCCTGCATGTCGCATGTTGTTGCCCATCATTTACGACCGCGCATTACGATCCGTCTTACTGATAGCTTCGGTTTCATGTAACTCAGATTTACTGAGACCATAAACATAGCATAAATACATATTTATAGCAACGCGAAGTGAGTTGGATACACTCTGCATGAACGATGTCAAATGGGGAAATCATTCAACCCTTCATACACCATGACAAATACAACATTTAACAAAAAAAAAAAAAACGTAATCTCCCATTAGACAGGCCTGCCTGTTCTGAATAATGAAAAAGGCTCATAAATCAGGCTTAATTCTTCCACGTTTCCTGTTTCTGACACAGATAAGAAAAATGCATCCAATAAAGACTGACAGAAAACATGGATTGCAGCTTTATCAGTGCAGGCATGACTTTACTTTTTGATTAAGAGATTGTGCACATGGCTTGTGCAGACCCGACATCCGGAAACGTTGGACGGAAAGGTCTCAAAAAGTTCTTGTGTAAAAGAAGAAGTCCATCCAATGACTGTTCTGACATATCTGGACAACTAAACACTCTTTCAAGCAGCGCCTATGGAAAAAAAGTTGATGTACTCAAACACGTGGCACAAAAAACGGACATTTTTCTAATTTAAATAAATTTAAATACAGAATAACTCAACTAAATTCATCACATTTTCAATCCAAGAAAAAAAAGGGAACCGGGTTTCCAGATTCTGTGTCAAAAAACCTTCTCATTTAAACCTCTGACATCTAGGCTCTGCTGTTCTCTTTGCTTTTAAAGTGTGGTGGTGTCATCGTGCCAAGATCTAAAGAGCTCTCTAAGACCTTCAGGGGAAAAAAAAAAGAGTTGAAGATGTCTCTAAATCTGGCAAGGGATTTAAGGGAAACTATTCAACTAAATCATTCCACTGGAAGGAAAATAATGTTCTGTAGATTTCAAGTGACTGCCAATTTGTCCAGGACTGGCTGCCCCAGACAGTTTAGTCCAAGAGCAGAACGTCTTATG